AAATAAGCTGTTTTTTGGGGCCTTTTGCTGAGATCACACGTTTGATGTCAGGTTCGCATTACCCGACTTCGAACTTGTATTTCTATCAAGTGTGGATGATCCATGATTGGCTTCAGACGCATAAAGAAAGCGAAGATGAGATTATTAGAGACATGGTGCCACCGATGAAAGAGAAGTTCGATAAGTATTGGAAAGACGTCAGTGGAGTTTTTGCAATGGCAGCAATCTTTGATCCACGTTTTAAGCTATCAATTGTCGAATATTGCTTAGGGAAGCTTGACATGAGCACACGTGATGTGAAGTTGAAGAACTTGCGCACAAATCTTGGTACTCTATTTGAGTCTTATGACAAAAAATCCAAGACAAACTCACCTTCTACAGAGCCACGCGAGACGGTTCCACAGAAAACTTGTGGTGAAGGATCTATGGGAATGTTTGGGAACTATGATGTGAGTGTTTTCTTCCACTTTTTTGCATTCTATTTAATAGTTTAAAATATTTTTTAATTATTTTGAGTCTTTTTAGGAATTCTTTGCATTTCGTAAAGTCAGTGGCGTTGCAAGTGGAAAGACAGCTCTAGAAGCTTATCTTGATGAGCCAGCTTTGGAATTTGAAAATTTCCGGAGCATGAACATTCTCGACTTCTGGAAAGATAATGCTCATAGATATGGTGATCTTGCTGCAATGGCTTGTGATCTTCTAAGTATTCCTATCACAACAGTGGCTTCAGAATCCTCTTTTAGCATTGGATCACGAGTCCTTAATAAATACAGGAGTCGTCTGCTTCCAAAGAATGTGCAAGCTCTGATATGTACAAGGAATTGGATCAAAGGATATGAAGCTTATGAGCATGGTAAATGTTTCATTACTATATCAGATTCGACAGTATGACCATTAAGAGTAATTAACTTCAGTTATTGATATTTTTCAGAAGGTGAAATTGATGGCGAAGAAGAGACATTACCATCATTTGAATCTATTGTCGATGGAGACGATGGAGAAGAAGAGGCTTGAACTTTTTATTTTCATTTGGTGTTTTGCTCTTATTAACATTTGATATTTGGTTGTTTGGATTTGGTTTTTATTTACACTTGGGATTTCATTGTTTGACTTTGGTATTTCATTTATTTATATTTGGTTAAGACTAAATTTGGTGTTTTATTTAATTTAAATTTGGTTAAGATTTCAAAATTTCTTGTGTTTGTTTGTAGAAAAATAGCCTGCTTTGTTTACTTTACGTTTGCATACAAATAATCTGCATTGGTAATGACTTGGTAATGAAACATTGGTAATGACTTGGTTATAAAACATTGGTTTATAAAGTGGATTACGTATTAGTGAAGCATTGTTTGGCACTATGCAAGGGATTGCGCATGTGAATGGAGTTAGTAGGCGTGAGCTTAATGACTCTAGTCACTATGCAAATCTTTTGCTTATTAACCGAACCGCAAGTCCTCTCGCATGGTAACCAAATGTTTGAAATTACCAGTCTGATGACTTGAGCATTGTTGATTCAATAGCATTATGTTGCTTAATATCTTCTTCGTGTAAGGTTTGTTGAATGTAAGGATAGGATTAATCGTAGCAACGTCATGCTTCCTTATTCTTTTCTCCCTAGTATGGCAGCACCAAGATTGAGAAATGCTGCAGAAAAGGTTATTTTTAATACAATCTAGCTTTGAGGGTTGTCTTAGCTTTAAGATCAACTAATGTTTGGTTGAACAGATAAAAGCACAACTCAGTGACTACGATGCAATCCATGTTCGTCGAGGTGACAAACTGAAAACAAGAAAAGACAGGTTTCGTGTTGAAAGAACTCAGTTTCCACACTTAGACAGAGACACACGTCCAGAGTTTATCATGAGGAGGATACAGAAGCAGATTCCACCAGGGAGAACTCTTTATATCGGTTCTAATGAGAGAACCTCTGGATTCTTCTCGCCTCTCTGCCAGGTAACATCACTGAGGTGGTTTACTATATGTTTAGATGTTCTTGTAAGTTGCTTAAGACTCTTGTTTTACACTACAGGTACAAAGTGGTTTATTCATCGAATTTCAGTGAGATTTTGGACCCTGTAATCGAGAACAACTATCAGTTAGCTTTGCATTTTCTCGACCCGCGGGCTGGCCCGCAAAGTCTTACAAAGTTAGTGGGGCGGGTTTGGTTAGAAGTGTTGAGCACCGCGGTTCACGGCGGGCTGACCCGCACAGATCCGCCGGAGAAGGAGACCGCAGCGGGTCGGGTCATGGCGGGGCGGGTGGTCCCAATTGCCATCCCTAAATACATTGTAATTGATCATTGCCATATATATAACTGTATACAGATATTTTATATTAATTTATATGTTTTTAAACATATTATTTCATTCGTTACATGAGCGATATCTGAGGGACAGTAAATATTATCCAATAAAAAATAACCACACACATTTCAAGAGAGTTTAATCAGCAATGCGTGTTTTTCTGGTTGAAACATTGCATTTGCAGCTACCAATTGGCTCAGTGATCTGAAACATTTTGGTGTATATATGACTTACGACCTAAAGTTTCATTTGAAGTTAGAAGTACTAAATGATCTAAATCAATCGTCATGATCAACAATAGCATCTCACTATTAATCAAATCATATTAATTGCAGGCGACACCATTATTGATGATAAATGAAGGGCAGAAGATGTTTCTGTGGATCAGCTAAGTCATTTTCTCTAATCATGTGAAGAGAACATACATCTGCACGTAACCAGACTATATTCTAATCGTTGGCTGTTAATTATATATTAAGACTATGGAGCATGTGTTTTGGGGTTTGATCGGATCTCTACTAAAAAGGTTTGAGAACAGTACCGTACTAGCTAGCTAGATCTAGAGAAGCATGCATGCAATTTAAAAACAGATTTGGGTTTTTGGTAATCTGTCATGCATGGTAGTGCTCATATTCACGTGTATTGTTACAGGCTTAACACAAAAGAAGAAATGAGACACCAATTTATACGTGGAAAATATTTTCGATTTGAGTAAAAAGTAAAAACCATCCACCCAATGACCCAAAACATATGTTTTTGAAATAGAACAACGTCTTTTTTTCTACATGAGAGATCCGAAATCTTAAACTGAAAAAACCAAAATCTTCAAAAAAAGAAAGCAACTAAAAAACTAGATATATATACAGGACAGACTCGAAACTCACTACACAAAAACTTCATATATGAGATTTAATGTGTAATGTCTAATGGTTATTCTACGGGAAAATTGTCATTTAAATCACCAACTTTCAAATTTGGTTGAAATAAAGCATTAATTTTCTCGTAAGCAAAAAAAACACCCAACTATTATTGACAAGCCATTTTAATCACAAACTTTCGTCAAATATACCAATTTAGTCATATCGTTAGTCAACAATATACTTGATTAACGGTATGCCTAAAATAGCTTTTAAAGTTGATGTTTTTTGGCACAAATATAAATCAACATTTTTTTCAAAATATTGGATTTTAAATATTGAAACTTTTAATAACTATAACACTAATAAATAAAATTTTAAATAAAAAATAAATTCCAACTAAACATATAAACAGCACTCAATGTAAAATAATTAATTAACATATCCTTACTTGAGTATTTTAGTTAAAAATGATTATGAATTTTTTAATTATTTACGATTAGTTTTTAAAAAATATTTATATAATCATACTCGGATTATGTTTTATAATTTTACTGTAAAAAAATTTGTTAGTGAAATATTACTTCAATTTTTGATTTTTTAAACAAAATGAGTTATCTGATAACAAAAAGAGTTATCGATTTTGGTGAAACTTATTTTTCTTTAAATGCAGAAAACCTCTTGTAAAAATTTTATAGAAACTATATAGATTTGTTTGAGAATCTTTACTATAAATATAAAGAATCATGAATAGTTCGTTAACCGGTAACTCTTTTCGTTTAAGAACCAAGAGTTGAATTATCATTTCATCAACAACCTTTTGAAAATAAAATTATTAAACATAATTCAAATAGGATTATATAAATATTTACAAAAATTAATCGTAAATAATTAAAATATTCTTATCATTTTATAACTAAGATACTTAACTAATGTATGTTTAAGTAATTATTTTACATTGAGTTTTATTTATATTTTTATTGGATTTTTTTTATTTATAATTTTTTATTAGTGCTTCAGTTATAAAAATACTTTCAATATTTAAAATATATCCAATATTGGAAAAACTATTGATTTATATTTGTGCCAAAAACATCAACTTTGAAAGCCATTTTAGGCCTACCATTAGTCAACTATAATTGTTGACTAACGATATGACTAAATTGATACGGTCTACGAAAGTTTGTGATTAAAATGACTTGCCAACAAAAGTTTAGTATTTTTTTTGCTTACCAAAAAGTTGATACTTTATTTCAAACAAATTTGAAAGTTGGTGATTTAAATGACAATTTACCATTGTTCTACCTCAAGCTAGATTTTATCATGTCGGATCATCACAAATAAGAGTTTTTCAACCTTCTGTGATATTCAGTTGAGAAATTTGAGATTTCCCCCCCGTTAAGCTACAGCCATAAATCAAACGAAAATCATTGAAATCCAAACCCCAAGCAAATGAGAAGATAATTCATATCAAACCACATTTTTGGACAATCTCTTGACCATTTTGGTTGAGAAGACGTAATTGGCTTATGAGTTATGCCACATTCTCTTATTAAGGCAGTCTTTCGGGTTGGACATTTCTGTTTGACTGTGAAAATTAAGGATTAAAAAGTCAACTCTTAAAAATAGTTAGCGTTTCATGTTGATTTTAACAGTTTGTTGTACTAAAAAAAATTATTCAACGCAAATGATATCTAATTCAGTAGATCCGATCTGTCATCTTGTTGAGCTGGGCCTGGCAGGTATCAATTGTATAGGGCCAGTTGTTTTACTTATTGCCGCAGAAATAAGAGTGAGATGTTAACTTGTTAAGGATATCATATCCAGCATTAGTTACCCAATATGCAGTGCACACAGAGACAAATGCACAGTTTCCTTGTGTAAGTTACTCAAAGTAACCAGAGCCGGATCTAGAGCCGGATCTGGGTACAATCTTATGAAACATTGGTATAGGCATAGACTTTCAAAATCATGGAATTTTTAATAAAGAAATGTTTATAGCTCTCGAAATCTCAGATTCGGTCCTAAGAGTAACTAATGTGGTTCCTAAAGTTTGCATAATATGGCTACCTTATCAAATGCACTGATGCTGTTCTTGTTGATGACAATGTAACTGTCGTCGAGATTCAAACAGAGTATGATCCTAAAGTTAAGACGAAACCGAAGGTTCTTTTAACAACAACACTAGATCTTTAGCCTCTCAATACTATTTTGGCTGGCATAAGATTGTTCACCCTAACATACCTAAGTGGATTTTTTTTATGATTCTTAAACATTTTAAAAAGATTGTAGACAGGAAAATCTAGTGTCCAACCGGACAGACACACAGAGAGGCAGCTACGGTAAACAAAAAAAAAGTGAAAACAATGAGGGTTATATGTCAAATGGGTTTTAAGATAATAGTATAGATGTAAGGGACACACATAGCTGTCTTGAAACGCACGTAACACAATAACTTTTTTGTTTGCCTCTGTTTTGGTTCATCATCTAGAATGGAAGTATGTTAAAAGGTCTTTGGTCAAAATGTATCTTCGTCAACATATTCGAACTAGAACCATTGGATCTATCTTTCTCTATCTGCAACAGTGTGATGTTAATACTTACTGTCCTACAAAGTGGGCCGAAAGCTCTGTGGAAGAGAGACTAAAGAGTGTTTAGTCTTTTCACGCATGTGATTTTGATTGACTCGAAAACTGAAAGAGATTGTTGTATTAATATTGTGCTATCTAGCTTTTTCGATTATGCTTTGCTTCCTCTACATTGCTCAAAAGTTTAATAATTGGTTCGACGAATGTGGAATTTATTGTGTATGATTGTGCTATAGGGAATAAAAAGAGCACATGAAAATATTACTGATTTAGGAAGGAATAAGGTGCCCTTTGCCTTTGGGATTGAAGGATAAATGGATAATAGCACTGGTCACATTATTATCGTACGCTTTCACTAGCTACTTTCGATTCCATGCTCTCTCAACATGTGTGTTAGTGGATATGGCATCAGTATCACTTATCCTTTTATATTTTGGTATTGTCGAGATGGGAACTATAATTATAACGCCTCGACCATCTATGATGAAGGGTTCTTACGTCCACATACTTAGTCCGTAGGTCAACTATATGATGGATGCTATGTTAGTTTTTGGAGTTTTGAAGATTTATTTACATTTTATAATTATCACATGATTTGTTTCTATATTCTGTTGTCATTCACACAATATTTAATTTTTAAGTTTTCTAGACAAGTAACTGAAAATATGGATGCAATTTTGTGTATTTAACCAAATTAATATTAAACATTTCCATATGCTCTACCATATACCAGATATTTAATATTACAAATCATTCTTACTCACCAGTTATGCAAATGAGGATTTGGTTTTGTTTGAAGAATGTGAACAAAACGGAAACACGGAACAAGAAAATGTGTAATAACGTGTTGTTGGACAATTATGGTGCCAAAATAACAGTGTTTGAGTTTAGAGATGATAATACCTTTTTGTTGTAAATATGTCTTGTTTCATGAACCAACCAGCTGGTGTCTTTACGTCAGTGTCTCTTCTTCAACCAACTCTGGTGTCCTTACGTGGGTGTCTCTTCTTCAAACATTTATCTTGACTTCTGACTTCTCTAGTCTTTCATACTGTCTTACTTCAAACCAAAGACTTTTTTTTTTGCTTAAAGCAAACTAAAGACTTAAACATGTTAATTAGATTAATCCTTTTCTGTTCGATGTACGAACTTAATATCAGGACTTCTTTTCCCTGGAATTTTTTTTTTGGAATAAAACACGTTGAACTATATCGATTTTGGGTTCACAACTTACTACACTTCATAGTGTGCAATTGATTTGGTAGCCTGATTCTTTTTATATACAGATTCATACAGATTTCAACTAACGTATCTTTTAACGAACATCATTGTTTCTGTCTAACATTTACTCATGTCTTTTCTAAAGTTTAACACTTGCCGAATTTTATAATTGAGGTAGTCCACTGGTTTTGATATTAACCAATGGAGCCGACATAATATTGCAATTCTTTTTATCTACGTTTATTGATTCTAAATAATAATTATAAAACATTTTTTTAATTACTCAATTTATATGCAATAAAATCGTGTATTGTTTTTTTTTTGAGAAATAAAATCGTGTATTGTTCCAAAAACACATGAAACAGTATACATTTGCATAGTGTTTGATGTTTCGTTCTTGACCGCTCAAAAGTGCATCACTGTTTGATCCAACTTTCAGTGGTACCTTTGGGTTCATATCATTGTGGAGTTTCCATGTACTTATGACAGGCTTTATAAGTGACTTCTAATAATTCGATCTCTTTAACAAGACTTCCCCAAAGCCACCTTTCTCTATCGTTTTGGTTGGAGCTCTTTTAGGAGGAATGATAATAATAAATAAATAATGGTCTTTGTCTTTATTGTCCTTAGGCATGTTCATTCTGTTGTTCGGTCCGGTTTCAGTTTGGTTTTTTTCGATTTTTGGTTATTCGGTTTATAAAAATTAGCTACCATATTGGAACTATATTTAATTTGGTTTGGTTCGGTATTTATACTACTGGTTTTCGGTTTATTCAGTTTTATACCAAATAACATTATTATTTTATTTAGTTTCATATTATATGAATTTTTTAAAAAAACATATTGTCAAAACTATCATTTATTAAAATAATCCTAGGTGTTCATAAATATAAAAATGTGAAATTAACAACAAACAAAACAATCAACAATTCAGTTTTGTATAGCTTTTCTTATTTTCTCTTTGTTCTTCCAAATAAATTACATGATACAATATAATTTCACAATTTCTTACAACATGTAAAATCAAATCAAATTTAGATAATAGTTGAAGAAAATAAAATAAAATTATTAAGATATATCTTCACAAGGTATAAAAAAAAGACTATTCCAAGAAAATAAATGGTTATGTAATGTATATATTTATATATTTTTTCTTTGATCGGTTTTATTCGGTTTATTCGGTTTAATCGGTTATAAACCTAACCATATCCAAATCCTATGATTTTTATAAAATCATATCCCTTCAGTTTATATGGTATATACCAAATCCAAACCATATTGTCTATTTCGGTTCGGTTCGGTACGGTTCGGTATCACCATATTGAACAACCCTATTTTGTCCTATATTGAACCCACCTTGGTTATTCGGTGCGGGAAAAAGGCACAAGGCATTGCGCCAGCGTATAGACATTGTTCTTTTTATTTTGATCAACCCTACAAATTAAAGACTGCAATCCAAATCCATCATGTTAGTGTATAGCAACATGGATCTGTTTAAAAACTGTGTAAACTCTTATCACCATTAATATTCTATGTATCCACAGAAAAGATATATATATATATATATATATATATGTCAATCAACCTCGCTTGTAATATCGTCAACTTTGCACTTATATGTTTTCCAAAAGAAGACATCAATTTTGGTGAAGAGACATATAATTATTCCCTTGAATTTTCATCATCCGGCCCCATAATAACAGTTTATTGGATATAGTCTCTCCTAGCTTTTGGGTTCTTCCACCTGCTTAGGCGATATTAACATTTCTCTAACTAAAATCCACACAAGCCACAAATAATTCAAGACAATAAACTACCATTTACTATTAACCCTCAAGCTTAGTAACTTAATATTATTAGTAGTCTAGAGCATCCCAACGAGGATACCCTCAAAATGGATATCTAAGTATTTATATTATTATTTAAATACATTTTGATTAGGCAATTAAATTTTAATAATTGTTAGAAAAGAAGACTAACATGTTACCAACTGGTAAGAAGAGTTTAAATGGGTTCTAAAATTGTGTGTAGAGAATTTCTGTCACTTTTTTTCTTATATCTCTTTCCTATTTTTTTTTCTTAATTTTTTTATTGGTTAGAAATTCCGCCTAGAACTCTACCGTTGGCCATGCTCAGTACATATACACTGAGAAAACAGACATGTAATCGAACATATCTAGTTATACATCAACTTGAACAGATCCATTAACCTATCTAACAAAATATGATTATCTATATGAGAAAATAAAATTATGCTTTTATAATAAATAAATAGATTAAATTAATTCAAAAGTTTACACTTTTTTTATATGGTTGATCGGGTCGATTTCGAAAAAAACATACTTAATAATATATAATGGACTGAATACTATTGTATGACCCAAATTTGAATGCCTTTTAACTAATGCAGTGAATATCTATATAGTCTATTACTAGACTACTATGTAAACATGTAAACTGCTTGAACCAAAACTCAGTTCATACTGGTCAAACAGAAGTAACTTTGTTTCGAGTGAAAATTAAACCTATGATAGACGGGTTAATGTCGTGTCCCAACTTAACGGACTTTATTCTACATTGCCACAATCACTCCCATCTTCATTCTAATATGCCATAGTCATAAATTTGATTCTTTTTTTCTTTTCAAAGTCGAAATGTGGTTAAAAAATCAATAACCCTTAATGAATCAGTATTATGTGTAATATGAATTACTAAAAACTACTTTGAATTACTAGAAACTACCTTGAATTAGTAGAAATTACTACGAACAACAAAAAAAGTGTGGTAGTGTAGAATAAAATGTGGCAGTTAGAATAGTTATTTTCTAACTGTGGCATATTAGAATACTTTCCCAACTTAACCCTTACCATTCTATTAGATGTTTGCTTTTATTTTATTTTTTTGTTCTTTTTCAAAAAAACTAAATGTATCTGGTTTTGTATATTAGTAAGCAATATTTGGTATATAATACATTATTTAAACAAATATTTTTAATGTAAAATATTCATAAATACATAATTTGTATACTTTCTTAAATTTCATATTATAATAAAATTATATAAAGAAACAGAGGAAATTTTATAAAAAAAACAGAGGAAATACAAATTTTCATGAGTTTAAAGACATGCAAACTATCATTATATATATTTAGCCAACAACTTTGGATCATCATAAACTGAAGTATAAGCATAGCAGTTGAGTTTATAAAATAAAACCATAGTGGTGGGTTCCCCTCCACCCTAAGCATACTCTCATCTCTTGACTAACTTAATTACTCCCTAAACTGCCAAATGTCATCTATGTTCCACATAGGATCTGGTGTGACATCCTCGTATGCTTCCGCCACATAACATTCCGTTCCTATGTCTGAATTTCCCATGTAATAATGTTCCTCCATCCCAGGAATATATCCGCCGAGTTCTTGATCATTATGGTAACACATCGAACGATCAATGATGGTGTTAGGATCTATAAAGTGTGGAGTTGTCATGAGATCAGGCATGAAATTGGAACTCGAAGTAGAACCATCCTTGTTGCTGAAACCCGGGTTCTGGCCCGAGAAATCTGTATATGTTTGTGAACTCATAGAGTGGTAAGATTGTAAAGGAGGAAGAAGAGAGTTATTGTTATTGTTTTGAGGACAACAATAAGTCGTGGATGAGTTTTGCTCCATCTTCTCGATCAATCTAGGAAGCCAGAAACTACGAACAGTGTCAAAGAACTTGTCGCTATTAGATTCGATGTTGAGCTGTCGAGCTTGTTTCTGAACTCTCGTTCTCCAATAGTTCTTGATCTCGTTGTCCGTTCTTCCTGGTAAATACTGTGCAATCTTGGACCACCTAAAACAAATATTAATAGACCATCGTCAAACTTTTTGGTAATATAAAACAAAGAATATAGAATATGATGATGAGATCGAGAGTGACTAACCTATTCCCCCATTTAGAGTGGAGCTCGAGGATTAAAAGCTGTTCTTGTGGAGTTAGATTTCCTCGTCTGATGTCAGGTTTCAAGTAATTCAACCATCTCAATCTACAACTTTTTCCGTTTCTCTTTAGCCCTGTTTTCATTTTATATGGAAAAGAAGAAATATAGTGATTATGAGACACCTAATGGATCAAGATCATGTTTTAAATTAATTACCAGAACATTTGGCGACGAGATTCCAACGGCCTTCACCGTTATGGAGAATGTAATTTGTGAGAAGAGTGTCTTCCTCCAGAGTCCAAGGCCCTCTTCTCAGCTCTACCTCCTCACTTTCCTTGAAGCTCTTCGTCTTCATTGAGTTTTCCATCCTTAAAATGTTCTAATTAATGTATGTTATTTGTTTTGTAATATCTCCCAAGATCTATGCATGCGTGCTGTATAGGGAGAGAGAGATAAAAGATAGAGAAGCTTTAATTGCTTTGAGAAGTGAAAGTGAATCCACAGGTTCTTGGGAATTTATAGACTCGTGGAAGTGGAAAATGTTCGACTTTAGCCATCAGCTTGCGTTTTTGCCCAATGAAGATATTTTGTTTTTGTCCAATGAAGAATTGACACACCTTTTCTACTTATAAAGCATTCCTCAGTTATTATTAGCTCTTTCAGTTTAAATCAGAAAGTCTATCTAATTATATAAAATATATTGATATGTGGGGAACCTGGATTATATATATATATATATATATATATTTCAGATTAGTCAAATCCTGAAATGAACCAGGAGAACCTGGATCCATATATATGATTGATAAGAAGTATATATTATAACGAGACACAATTTCATCACCTCTTTTTTTGTATGATGCAACGGAATGGAATATGGTGACTTAGCTATATGGATTAGATGTCACGTGGAAAGAATATGGAATCTAATTTTGGAAGAAGTACAGTCTATATTCTTAAGTAAATTAACTTTTGTGGTAAACAATTTCCTTACAACATGCCAAAATAACTTATATAACTTTGCCTTATTATATAGAACCGGTTTTCTCTATCACATTGCAAAAATGCATTTCGTGAATACTGAGATTAGCATAGTTTCTTGGTCACTTTACCATGTTTATGATCTTTTGATAACATTTTAAGTTATACACTAGATTTTTGAACCGCGTTCAATAAACGCAGATACTATTTTTGTTGTTTTATCTTTTTTGTTTTGATGATAAATAGAATCAAAATCAAATTATTAAATGGGTATAAGATTTTTTTTATTTTATAATATCTCAGAGAATTTTTTATGTTTTTAAATAAGTTAACAATGATTGTACCATAAATGTGTACTTGAGAAAGATTGTGTATTTAACAATTAAATAGTCCAACTTTTTAGTTTTGTGATTAATTCGTAAAATCATTTAGTTACAAAATTTCAATCGCTTAGTCCGACTTGCTCCGTCCAACCCGTTCCGTAGCGGGTTGAGTCATTTTTTCGACTGAAAAATTTGATCCGCCTGACCCGTAAAGAAAATATATTTTTGCAATTTTTTTTTTATAAAATTTGAAAAAGAATAAGCCCATTAATGAACCTCATTAATATATAACTTTTATGCCCAAATATATACGGTGATTTGGCATAAACTGTTGGTTAATCTAAAACAAACAAAAAACCAAAATTAGTTACCGAACAGCTGAAAACGATTTAAAGCTGATCAAATATGGTGAGAAATCAAAGGTCACACTTAACTCATGATTTATAAACTGGGAGCAAAAACACCCGAATGGTATTACCCGTCGAAGATTAGTATGAGTTTTGTGACTTAATTCTTATTGCACCAGCGGACTTCCAGGGTACTGTTTTTTTAGATTACCTTTTTTTTTTGTTTAATCTCTAGATTAAAAATGCTTTTAGTAGTTTCGTACTTAAAGCATTTTTAATCTAAAAAATACAGTACATTTATTTATAACTCCCAAAATCTTCTAATCGGTTCTGGATGAGATCAAAAGTGACTCACCTATTACCCCATTTGGAGTGCAGCTCAAGAATCATAAGTTGTTCTTGTGGAGTTAGATTTCCTCGTCTGATGTTGGGTTCAATGAATTCAACCATCTTAATCTATAACTTTTTTCCATTTCTCTTCAGCCCTATTTGCATTTTAAGGCTTTTTACAAAAAAAATGCTTTTAGTAGGAAAATATGAAAATTCTGGTTTCTGAAATTGCCAGAAATAACACTTTCAAGATATCACTTTTCAACTTTACACTAATCAACTTTACCATTAAAATTTTAATAGTCAAAATACTATTAGAATTTAGGGTTTAGGGTTTTGGGTTTAGGATTGATAGTTTAGGGTTTAGTATTGATTTCTTAGGGTTTAGGGTTTACTTTTTAGGGTTTAGAGTTTAGGGTTTAAGGTTTAGAATTGATATTTTAGGGTTTAGGGTTGATTTTTAGGGTTTAGGGTTTACTTTTTAGGGCCTAGAGTTTAGAATTGATGTTTAGGGTTTATGGTTAATATTATTTTATGTATATATATAAAGAAAAAAGATATAAGAGTCTTTTATCCTTTAATAAAATGTATATTTTTGAAAATGTTCCTTTGTTGATGGTAAACATGAAAAGTGGTACCACCAAAGTGGTATAATTGAAATTTTCCCAATAAATATTAAAATTAGATTTTTTTTATTAAACACAATCAGTAAATACACCTTAAATGGAATATATTTCAATCAAATTTTGTTGTCTAATTCTTATGATTTTTCGAGTTTTAGTTCCAGACTTTTTCAATATATGGTATCCATATATCTTTAGATTGTTATTGTAGAAAACCCCTATCATCAACACGCATAAGTTTGAACATCAAATTAATCATTTAGTTCAGATTATTTCGTTAGGAGTTTGAAGTAAAGAGCTTCATTTTTCTATTACTGGATCGGAGCCTGCAATCCTTCTATATTAAAGTTCATACTATGTAATTTATATTATTGGCGATTAACCATTAAGCCAAATAAACGATGGTCAGCTAATGAGTTCCAAGTAGTTCATGATATTTTAGGAGTTATTTTAAAACTGATTAAAACTTGGTTCAGTTTAATTTGGGTACTTTAGTTTTGTTCTACTCTGATAACATAAATGGTAACTAAAAAAAAAAAAAAAAAAAAAAAAAAAAAAAAATGGTAACTGACCTAAACGTGTTGAGTTTTGAGTCATATTTTAATTAAACTATTTAAATATATAACCGGGCCTCGTGGTCTGGTGGTAAAGGAACCTCGGTTGAGGTGTCCGCCATCACGAGTTCGAGCCCCGGCCACAGCGGATTTAACATGGTTTCCGTTTGGCCTTCAGGACCCTTTCGGGGATAGTCGGATCTCTAAATAAGCCTCGGACACCTGAGTTATCAAAAAAAAAAAAAAAAAAAAAAAAAAAAAAAACATAAATGGTAACTGACCTAAACGTGTTGAGTTTTGAGTCATATTTTAATTAAACTATTCAAATATATCTGAATTAATCTAACTAACAAAAAATAACATAGAAACTGCAAAAAAATTAATATTTCTAAATTAAAAAGCTAATTAAAATTCAACAAGATAGCAAAACCTCTACAACTATTTTCTGCTCGACTTTTTCGATTCTTTCGATCCCAAAAATATGTCCAACCAAGAAGCAAAAAATAAAACCGATGATGATATTAAAATAATTGTTTTTATGATGTTTTAAGATGTGTAATATCTAAATATTATTGGTAATAGCTGAACCAGAAATTAGATATGTAGTTCATCCGATCTTTTGGTTAGTGTTAAACTGAATATATTTGGTATAGGTCAATTGATTTAACGCCAATTTCTACAAGCCAGCTAATAATTTGTGAAAATAAAGAAAGGGTCCGTGTTGCTTTAAACCGAGAAGTCAAAAATGTCTATGTGCATGTATTTAAACATGTATTCAAAAATCTCGTTGGAGATGATAAGTCACCAGAAAAAATGTAATTAAAGCCTAAAGATCAGGAATAAAGAAGATAAAGTCGATTTCACATGTGTACTCCCTAATATCATTTTACTATATGATCAACAATGACAGTTTAATAAATTATCAATTTTAGTTACACGCATTTTTGTTTATTGAATAGACATATACCATCAAACTCATTAAAGTAAGATATATTATCAATAGAATTGGACTAACGTAATTGATAACTCTTTACATATGCATGTTTTTATATTTGTATCTCACAGCAACAAAGTAGATTAAAGGATGAAAAATACATCCAACCAAATTAACACAGTTTCACCTTCTTAAAGAAAGAACAAAAACATAAATGTCACTTGGAATAGAAAAGGAATGATGATTTGACACTTGCCGATTCGGAAGCCTTGACCTCTGATGGGGAGTTCTAATGGGGTTTTTTTTTTGTCATCAAACAGACTCTAAACAGACTCTGGAAACCAAACTGGTAAATCGACATCCATATAAACAACATAAGACGGCTGTTTTCTGGCACTACGTGCGAGGCTGTCCGTCTTGATATTCAACATTCTTGGTATATGGATGATCTCTGAGTGCGTGAAACTCTCCTATAAGAGTCTTCTATCTTCCAAATAATTTGCAAAGGCCGGCCATTCCTCTGATGTAGAAACCATCTTCACCAATTGAATACAATCCGTAGCAAACGTGACTTGGAACTGACGTAAATTTCTCATACACTCCATTGTCCATATAAGAGTTTCTATTTCTGAATGCAAGGGTGATGAAGTTGCTCTCGTATTCCTTACTCCCATTAAACCTCTAAAATCTTGGAAAGTACTATACCATCCCTGGCCCGAAAACTTTTCCTGATCCTTCCAAGAGTCATCAGTAAAACACCAGCGACCCGGTATGTGTAGTAGTCTAACTTCTTCATTTTCATATACTTGTTGGGGCACCTTTCTTATAAATTCCTGAGCCTCCCGCCATAGTTCTAATGGGTTTTCAAAAGAACATTCCTAATAAGATGAAGTTCTAAATATATATATTAATATTAGTATTTAATTGTGGGATTCTTAATTTTACGAGAAACATAACTTAAAATACTTCTTTATAAAATTTTTGAGTTACGTTTCCTGTAAAATCAAAAACTCCACAATTAAATATTAATATTAATATATACATATATGTATTTTGAGAATCCCAAAATTAAATATCCTATTGGAGGTCTCGAAATTAATAAAATAAATAGAAAAATGAAAAGAGATAATGTCTCTAATTTGACAAACTCAAAAATAAAGTTGAGATACTCAAAACAGATTTTGTCACTGTATCATTGATTTATGTTTTGTCTAAAATTTTATTACAATTTTAATTTATACAACTATTATATTTTTGAGATATCTTTGGTGAGAATTTGATTCTTTTTTACCTTTGGTGATAATAGATACCATGCCGATGCTCTACAAAATTTAAAGGACGAAGGTCGTATCAAACAAAAACATTATTTATCAGACCCCCCGTAAGACATTAGGAGGGCTGGATTGTTACAAATCATGCACTTAAGTTGATCCTGAGACCCAAGTTGCTATATAAACAATAAAATGATAAATGAACACATGATAAGGCCCTCGTTGATAAATTCTTCGCAGATAAAATCAGAGACATATCACGACAGTGAAACCTTGAAGGCATCAAGCATCAGTTACATGATGGGAAAGACATTCATCGACGATCTCGACGATGTCTGGATTCTCTAGTGCAGCTGACACACGTTCTTTATCGTTTATTTGTTTGTTGACTGCATTCGCAGGGGAAGAAAATAAAATGTCAATAAACAAGCGCGCGCTTGTACAAGTGGTTCAAACAAAATATGGATATAGAAAAAAGCTGACATACCTGCTGCCTCTGTTGCATGAGTACCGGGTGCTACTCTTATATCAACCTGAATTAAAAAAAAGAAAAGAAAAAGAGTATTTTCAAATGATGGAGGCATGGAAACATTTCAGTATGTATAACCAAGGCACTAGTAGGAATATATAGTAAAGGCTCAAGTTACACTCACTTAGCAATTATCACAATATAGTTTAACAACGAGAAAAATACAAAGTTCTTTGACTCACATATTAGGAGTATATGTGTTAATGAACTTTTATTTAGACATATATATGTGTTAATGAACTTAAAAATATAAAAAACTTTTATTTAGTGCAACACTTGATAAATATGATTCTCTCTTCAAATGCTATTACTTCAATTATGTTCAAACCACACTTAATCAATGTGCTCAAAAGATCATCTGCAACATACTCAAAGAAAACTAGGAGAGAAACGTAGAATCTAAGATAACAAAATATGAGAGAAGGAGGGTGTACTTTGTATCGAGCAGGAAGGCTTCGTATAAGTTTTACCCGGAGACAAAGACCGATTAAGGACGTCATGCCACAAATTTTCATAGTTGGAGTGAATGTAACCCTTTAAAAACGAAAAAAGGGCAGATCTCAGCACAAATTTAAAACAAAATATTGATTAAAAAAAATCACAAAAGCTTCATTCTCAACGTACCTAACATGACTGTTGTCATCATCCACTTTAACTGAGTCTTTTGTAAGTACTTTGAGGTGTTCCAAAGAAGAAGGAAGCTCTGGATCTCTGATATATCTTATATAATGTAGTTAAAAGTCAAGGAGAAGTACAATGACCCATAGTTATTAATTAATAAGAACTTGATGAAACAGCGTACGTGAAAAATAGAAAGGATATCAAAAATCTTGAGAGTGTCGATTGGTTCTAGAGAAAGCTTATCAGTACAAACACGACGCTCGTTTCTCTCGTAAACGATTGGATTCTCATTAACTAGCCTAGAAACCATGATTCTCTACCAAAATATTAAAACAAGGAACGTCAAAAGAAAATAAAACAAGTGGAGAATCGAAAACCCTAATTAAGGAGCCAATACAGAACTACGATGATGGTGTTTTCCGATTTTTTTTCTCTTTCAAGCAACATTAAGAATGAATTTTATATATACTTAACAGAAAAATCAAAGTTGGGCCAGGCCCATGTAACTAAATTCTCAAGAAGAGCTTCACGGGCTTCTATATGGATCCTAAAGAAGCTACATATGTCAAGCTGTTGAGAAGCTTGGTATTGAATATTGATTTTCTTATAGTTGGGAGTCATAGTAAAGGAACAGGACTCACTCTAGAAAGTAGAAAGGTGTGTGAGCTTTTCTTTACAAGAACATTAAGATAAGTTAAACTTTTGGAAGATGATCATGTGTTATGTATAGTGTGTGTGTGGACAGGACTTTCCTTGGACGTGTTAGCAATTATGTGTTAACAAGGCTAAGGACAAAAGCTTGAATACCCTTCTCCTCTCCACAGAGTTCGACAACCACCTGGCTTGCTGTGTTGTAAACATATTGATAATAATGCTCCACTTATAACTACCGTACGTGTGGAGGAACTTTGTTAGTGGTACATACTATATCTTTGTTTAATAAATATGGCATCTGATGGTTAATTGATTTATGCGTTTGTCAGAACTCTTTTTTTTTCCTGACATGGTGAAGAGTCATATTTTGAGTCATATGCTTTCACATGACATGAGAATCTAAACATGAGGTAGTTATTAGAGACAAAATCTCCCAGTTCTAACCCAAGGGAAGTTGATGATGGTTCTGTTGTTAGAAAGTGAAGCTTTGAGAATGAAGAACAAGAGAGAGATGAGAGAAAAGAGTAAAGAAGGAGAAACTTTTTCTTTAGATCTGAAAAGTAACGTTACAATGAGTTATAAAGAAAGAGAATAATCTTATTCTAGTAACCAAACACCCTTGGCTTACTAGAGAAGCTAGAATACATAACTAAATTATTTATTTATTTAACTCAATACTCCCCCTCAAGCTTTGCCATGCCTAATGGTAAAGCTTGGAACCATGAAAACATCCCTCGTTAAAACCTTTTGCATAGAAAAACCCAATGGGACAAAACCACACAAAGGAAAAAGAGTAGATGCTTCATGGCTTAAGGAGATCATGATCTATCAAGGTCTATGAGTCCTAATCTCGGATGAATGAACTCACAGACTTTACTA